AAGTCTTCTTCATTTCCGGTTGCCGGTGTCCTCCGGTGTCTGAGGGCTTCGAGGCGGAAGGAAATGTTCGCGAACGAGGTTTCCGCTGTCGCGCCGCTGGCTTCAGCGCCTTTCTTTTGTCGCCGGCGCACAGTAAGGAGACATCATAAAAATGTTGGAAGGAACTCACTTAATAAATGCCTTCTCTTGCTTCGCTTTCCGTCTCTCTGCCTTGCTTCTGTTCACGCTGCCCCGACCCTCCTAGGTCCAATCCGCGCCACACTTCACATCCAGCCCCTTCCAGCCCCAACTCTTTGGTCCATGCACCTTCTTGCTCTTCCTTTTATGCTCCGCCCTTCCTGCTTCGTTCGTTTAGTCCCCGCCCATCCGTCTCCACTCATCCACTCCCGCCCCATTCGTCCGCACCCCATCCGTCGCTCTAACTATGGATTTATTGCGGCCTGCCTTTGACACAAATACGATTTTTTCACTTTATTCTGGTTACTAGTGGAGAAGGGTAACGAAAAGATAACCAAGACATGGCGATTTTTTCAGATTGTTTGATTTATATCTTTTATCCTCAGTCAAAGAAAGGGGATGTGCCAAAAAATGCATAGTGGACCAGGCGGCATTATTATGAAACGACACTTAATCAAAGAATTCGAGTGAAATAGACAACACATACATATTGGAAATCCGAAGAACCATCCCACACCAAGGACCATAAACCAGTGCGGACGTATCTGCATGACTGTCTGACATGTCATGTCCATTGCAACATCGGAAGCTGGCTATCATAGTCTCCACTGATTGATACAGACCCACATGGCAGGGCACTTCAGTATTCGTGACTTTACTTCTGCGGTGATTTGAAAAAAGTTAGCTCAAGATATGTGTTTGTTGTACGGCCTCACCTTCTCCCGGGATTGTCTCAAGAGACCACAAACATTCTGACATAACTCCAACGAAAAAACCAATTATTGATTAGGGATAACCACCAATTTCAACTGTAAACTTCTCCGGATTATATACTTCGTATTCTGAAATGGAAGCAGTATCATAATGACATTAGCTTTATTCAAACGAGCTCAGCATCTAAGAATAGAGTAGAGTAAGTACACTTGTATGGTCGCTGCTCACAGGTTATATAGATATAGATTATACGTTTTCATTTTGTTCTGTACTCTATGAGGTAAGTCCACAGTAGCAAAATATGATTAAGCGAAAGATGGGAATTATCTTGACTTTAGCATTTAGTTAGTTGTTATGATATTATCTTATTATTTATTTATATCTATCGTTATTGAATAATTTATTTATTTATTTAGTTTATTTATTTAATGTGAATCATTAAATATCTATATTTATTTATAGTTTATTCTATTTATTTAGGATTGTTAAATCCATTATTTGTTTAATCATATAGTTTCTCTCCGTTTTCAACATTTTCGTGCCACACGACATTAGCACTGATGTTGCCATGCACAGAATGAGAAAAATTTTAGTTTTTGAAGAACAGAAACGAAAATCATTTTCTAACAGGAAAAAAAGTCATATTTACTTCAATTATTTTAAATTTTCAAAATGTGAAAATACTTGCACCAGTAAACCCGGAAATAACGTAATTCGCACAGAAAAGGGAATCGATAAATCGTTTCACCACTATTTTTCCTCGTTTTCCATTGAAGAACGCTCTCCCACATTCATCTCGGGATAACTCACGTTCTATTTTAAACTCCGGCTGTTTCCCTTCAGCGTAACGGGAAAAACTGACACTTTTCGTAACCACTTTTTTCCACATAATTTTAGTCCTTAGTTTTGAACGATTTTTAGTTCCCCGGTAAATCTTCATAGTGCGTTTATATTGAGAGACCACACGACTATAAAGAACATGACGGAGAAAACATGACATATTTTTATTCGTCCGACCCATAGAATGAAAGAAAAACGCTGGCATACTGTCCCTAAGATCCCGCGTGCAAACTAGGAATTTTATTTGAACATATTTGAGAAGGCTCGAGCGAAATTCCATTTTTTGGGACTTATTTTTTTTTTTGGCAGGACTGGCGGTAGTACAGGCGTTGATCGTTCCTGTCATATTGGGTGGTTTCCGAAGTCGTCTGATCTGTTTCTCCGTGATTGGTTCGTGTTCGAATTTGGATCTTCCACAGCGAAAAAGGTTTTTTTTTCTGTTCCCTTTTTCCCTCCTTTTCCTAGTTTCTGTTGCCGGGTGTCTGCGGCCTCCGGATTGGGGTGATCCCCTTTCGGGGGATGTGGTTTTTTCGGGTAATATTGAACAAGGGCGTGCTTTTTCGAAGGCGGGAAAAAAAATGGGTGGGAAATGTTCCCGCCCGCCTTTTCAACGAGTTTTCCGCTTGGTCGCGCCGCGTCGCTGCGCTTCTGCCAAGCGCCTTCCCCCCTTCCTTTTTCTTTTGTCGCCGGCATACAGTACAGGAAGACATCATGAAAAAATGTTGGAGAGGAAAAACCCAGATTATAATGGCCTCTTCTCTTCTGTGCTTGTCACCACGCTTTTCCAGGCGTTCCCCTCTCTGCCTTGGCTTACAGTTCGCTAGAGAGCATAGGATTCGTGGCCTGCGACCCTCCTAGGTCCAATCCGCGCCACGCTTCACATCCAGCCCCTCCTTGCCCCCAACTTTTTGTTCCATGCTCCGTCTTTGCCCTTCGCCTTTCTGTTCCGTCCCTTGTCCTGCTTCGTTCGTTTCATCCCCGGCCATTCCGTCTCCACTCATCCGCTCCCGCCCCATCGTCCACGAACCCATCCGTCCCCGCCCACCCTTCTTCCGTTCCATTCGTCCACCGCCTCATCCGTCCACACCAATCCGGTCACCGATCATTGCTACCTCCACTATTCCGCCGCGCGCTCTATCGTAGCCCGTCCCATTCGTCTGCGCCCCACCTTGTCCCCACGCCATCCGTCCCTCACGTCCACTCGCGTGCCCGCCCCATCCCGTCTCCTGCCCTGTTCGTCTCCTGACCTCATCCGCCCTCTCCCCATCCGTTCCTCCGCCCAATCCTCCCCGCCCCATCTGTCCCCACGCCATCCCGTTCCCCGCCCCATCCGTCTCCTCCCGTGTTCGTCCCGCCTCATCCGCCCTCTCGCCATCCGTCTCCGCCCAAATGCCGTTCCCCGCCCGCATTGTCCCCACGCCATCCGTCCCCACGCCAATCCGTCCCCGCCCCATCCGTTCCTCCCTGTTTCGTCCCCGCCTCATCCGCCCTCTCCCATCCGTCTCCGCCGCATTTGCGTCCGCCGCCCCATCTGTCCCCACGCAATCCGTCCCCACGCTACATCCGTCCCCTCGCCCCATCCGCGTCTCCTCCCTGTTCGTCCCCGCTCATCCCGCCCTCCCCATCCGTCT